AGTAGACATAATCAACTTGGTCAAATAGATAATAACAACAGTTTAACGTTGTAGCTATTACAATGTTTGGTGTTGTGGTTTTAGAGACGAAAAAAAATGTTTGCTTTTTTTCGCTTATCTAAGTAGGCCCTTCCCGCCTGCAATTTTACACAAATACGATGTTCATGAAATGTTATGTAATTTTATAGTTACGAATGAGCCACACAAATTTTAAATGATTATATGATAATTAAGAAAAACGTATGTTTTGTAAAGAGAAATAGTCTGTTTTAAAGTGGAAACAATATGGTGAGCTATAAATATATGGTTGAAGATCCATTATTTAAAACTCTGTTCATCGTTTAGTTTAATGAACAACAAAAAAAGAATTCAACGAATGTTATATTATTGACGAGATCGATAAATCAAAAACAAATTAATGAACATCACGTAGAGAGTGTACCAATAGAGATGCTTTATTCATTTGGAAATCTCTATAAAATTTCCTGCGTTTTGGGTGATCTTTTCACTTAAATTGTGAAATTCTCGAGAATTCCCCTATTCTTCGCTCTCTCCAATTTCCTTAAAATCTCCAGTTACTTCACGTCGGTCATATGTGGTTTTTCAAAACAATTTAAAACACTTAGCTAATAACATTGAACAGTTTATGAGCTCAAAACATTTCAATCTTGTAGCATTGAAGTGGCTTTTAGGTTAACTGAATGAGATGATTTCTTATTTTTCGAATTTTTATTGAAAAATCTTTTTCAATCTTTCAGTAGGCATTTTTGTGTTGTTCATTTTCATGCTAGTTTATGTGGTAAAGGCTTTTTTGAATTGTTTACAAATAAAATATGACATTCATTTCAATATGTAAAGTAATGCGTGTATGGCTTAAGTGCGATGTGAAAAATTGAGAGACTCAATAAAATTTAATTAGAGTTTTTTTTTTTGTTTATAGAAAAGAAATCGAACATATAGCTCTCTTCTTTGTCGCCTCATAAAAACTGCACATCAATTGCATTCATCGGTTTTAAACCACTCACACTTTGGCAATAATGTGAAGAAATATTGACGATGTTTCTCTCTCTCTCTCTCTCTCTCTCTCTCTCTCTCTCTCTCTCTCTCTGTGTGTGTGTGTGTGTGTGTGTTCCAATAATTTTGAATCTATTCTTAGTTTTGTGATAAACAAAAAACATATCTCTACAACTAGGACGTCCGAAATGTACGCGTTAGCCTATAAATAGTGAATTGATATACGATCGATGTCGTCGTCTTTTTTCTCATGTGATGTGATTTCAATCTTTTTGGAATAATTCTCAATTTCATTCGATACAAGTAATAAATGTATAAATGAACAGGGCCCTCATTGTTCAACATCAACTGATAATTGTATTTATTTTATTGTGTGCCGTATTGCAAATATTAAAGCAAATCTTCCGGAAATCGGCTTTTGAAGACATTCAATGCGCTTTGCTTCTCATTCGCTCACTGAAAATCCAGATATTTCTATTTCGTCACCGTATCACCATATCATTGATAACAGACAACGATATCTCTCCTATTTGTTTCATTCATATAATTGTAGGTGTTTTTTTATGCTCATAAAATAATTTCAGTGCCATTAACGTTGTTCAAGCACCCGAAATAAATAAACAAGATAATCTAAATGGATGGTAATGTCATCAAAATTCAATTTTGGCATCATTTTTTTATCAAAATCAGCATCAAATATTGGTACGACGCATTTTTCGACGAAAAATGTTTTTAATTTGATAAAATAAATGATGATCGAATGTGAATGACTGTATAACATTATTTCGCCTTGGCGGACGCATTACTTTGGCGGAAAAGACGTTGACACGTGTTTTTTTTCGGTTGATTTCGAATATCATTTTCGTTCATTTTCTAAATGCGCATGAGAAGAAGGAAAAAGTTGTATTATGAAATTGGATTCAAATATTGCAGTATCTTGACCGGCCACCAAAATCTTTATGAAAATAGCACGAATACGGGAGCGCAGAAGAAATGGCGAAAAAATCAAAAAAAAAATTGTATATTAATACACACGAAATACAAGTCAAACATGCGCGGCCGGTTTTTTCTTTTGCGCGATAAGTTTTAACGATAATGTGTGCGTCTCTATGCTTGAAATATTACGCCAATACACGCACGCTTCGAACTCGACGTCAGAGCGCAGAGATTAAATTATAATAAATTCACGATTTAGCACACATTTATGGAGATTGCTTTTTAGTTTTGTTTGTTATCAAAACACCAAACAAATATAATAACAAGAAAAAACACGACCTCGTGCTTTGCAACGAACAAGAGAAAGAATAAATCGGCCAGTGTCAAGAACTCATTCGATAAAAATATGATCATTTTTTTGTTTGTTTGTTTCTCGTCCATTTGGTAGTTGGATTAAAGCGGAAGAAATTATACGGATGAATTTTAACTATAAATCGATGCAATCGGATGGACACGAAAAACAAAATGTTCATAAATGAAACATAGGTGATATACTCATTAGAATTCATGAATGAGAATTATAACAATTGATATATTGACTGATTAAATCAAATGTTTGGTGCGAAAACCCGATTCGCACATCTTGTGTCCTCATTTGTCGCAATTTATTCGCAAAATAACATTAAATATGCAAATAAATTCAATAAATAAAACATACGACGATCAAGAGTACTGCACACAATGATCTTCATAACAAAATATATAGTGTATTATAATAGCAGCTAACCATTGCTAAGAAGTTTGGTTTTGCTTAAATATTTGCTCGTGTACAATTCGATTTCTATTCGTGATTTGGTTTCACTTTTTGACTACATTGTATTTTATTCGAACGTGTTGCCGTGTCGTTACCGGAATGTGTGTCTGGGACATTGTAGCAGTTGCCTATCATTTGTTCTAGCCGAGATGGGACGTTGGTGTGACATCTTCTATTAAAATACCCAAAAATCTGTTTGAAATTCGCATCTGTGATTTAGAAGAAAACGCTGAGTTTTCTGTGATTCACTGTGCTTGCCCTTGAATTACCCATCTCTGAACACTAGACAAATCAATTTTGCTTTTATTTAGAATATTTCAACTGGTTTATGCATTTCAATCGATTCTTTTTCCTTTCGAAGCTAATTTAAACGAAATTCACGTTTGCATTGTTTTCATCTTTGCATTTCGTAGTGTAATTTGCATTTAAAGAAAATTACATTTTGTTTGTTACAATAAAATGTAAATAATATAGTTATTGATTTGTTCAGCTGGATTAAATGGACATTTTCATTGAACACTTCCGAATAACGCAAACGTTGCTCTCAAAATTCTCTTGGAAAGTAAGAAGAAAAAAAAACACAATAACAATGAGTAACTGTAATAATAAATCTAAATCGGATCAGTGACTTTTACTGAAAATTTCGACACTGAATCGTTTTGCTATTTTTTTATTTTATTTTTTTTATTGCTTTATTGGACTTTGTGTATAATACCGGCTCATTTCATGATATTCAATGCTACAATGGCAATAATTGTTTATCCAAATATCAATTGTGTATTTATTACTTAAAACTCGACTCATATTCATATGTATACGAACTGCATGCAGTGAAACGATCATGAAATGCAAGCATGCATTCAAAGTTATTATTCAAATGCGTCTCGGGCAGCGTGTTTAATAAGAATAATTACAAATATGTTAGAGTAGTTTTTTTTTCGTCTTTTTTCTTGCATGAAGTAGTGAGAAGCAAGCGATAAGTCAACGCCATTACCATACATTGTATAATGAAAGAATGAAAGCAAAATGTCAACATTTGTTAACTACGCAGTTGATAACGTATGTATACTCAACGTGTCCCATGGTTGTTTATTTGAGAATGTATAATTGAATTACATTCAATTCACTTTAATAAATGAAAACCGGTCGTATGAATTTCACATGGTTCACAATTTGAGAACGAAAATAGACATTTGAATAGTTTGTTCTGAGTTATTTTTTGCCACAATTCAATGGAGCACCTTTCATTAGAATATTTGATTTAAACGAATCGAAATGAAATTGGAACAAAATGATGAAGAAAAAAATAAACACACTCACTATGAAAAGTTTATTTGTTCGATTCGTATGCAAATTTTCTGAATGGAAATCATAATCGAACAATATTGGATACAGAAGTAAGAGAACGAATGAGTAGGAAAGAGAGTGAGGGAGAATTCAACGTGTTCACACATGTGAAGGAGCAAACAAACAAACAATGAGAAAAAAAATCAACTCTTTCTGTGTACGTGTGGAAGGACAAAATGTGGTTTCATATCGCGTACTGACTCGAAAATATCTTTATATATTTATGTCTTCATTATATTATTATGCATATATGAGGCCGATCACACGGCGGACGTGATTTGACTACGCAACATTCGGCACGACAGCAATACTCTCTATTCTGTGGCATATATTATTTTGTATGTGTAAAATCCGCCTTCGATTGTACTTATACTTTAATATACCGGTAGAACTAATTCAATTGAACTAGATATTCTCTGCTTCTCGTTTTATTAAAAAAAAACAAATAATAAGAAAAGTTTCCTGCCTCTCACACCCAAACCGCATTTGCACAGCATACACATAAAATTGCATACTTCTACAGATATGCGGATTGTAAACAAAAAAACATATTTTTTTCAACGAGATACATGCTGTGTGAGTTTGTTATTTCATGCGAAGAAAGTTCATTATTTAGATATAGAAAATATTCATCAGAATGAAAGTAGAAGAGAAGAGATAAAAGAAAAACAAAATTCAACAAAATCCAACAACAACATGCACAGCACGTTGAGCGTGAGCATGTTTACGTTCTGAGTTAATATCGTTGGCAATGTGCTGGTGTGGATTGTTGTTTTGTCGCGTATGATAATGATTTTGTGTATGTGCGTGTTGTGTATCATACGATGTTTTGTTTGTATATTTCTGTTGAGCTGCTTTAAATGCCAGTACAACAGGCACTCGGAAGTTTAGTTTGCGTTCAAACACTCACTTGACAAGAGCTCTTCATCGCAAGCAAGTAATTTGTGAGATTATAAATCTTAAATTTAAATTCTTGAGAATACTCGCTGCGTTTAATCAAATAACAGAAATTTTGTGACTTAAACACAATTTTTTTTCTATATCGCAAATTGAAGTAAATTTTTCAAGTGCAAAAAGAGAAACTTTATCGTCAAGTGATTTTTCACAATAAATAAGAAGCAATCAAGCGTTATATAAAAACCGGAATTTTACATTTTTTTGGACGAAGTTAAAAAGTAAAATCAAAATGTCTGCATCGCCAATCGCTCGTACACTTCATCAATCGATTCCATCGAAGAAGGTGTTGATAAATGATCCAAATCAATTGCCTGATGTTTATTCATCAACTCCAGGAGGTACCATTTTCAGCACCACACCAGGAGGTTCGTTTTGCACTTGATTTTTTTTTTTCATTTTATTTTCATCAAATCTATAAGCAATCATTTAATGAGCAATCGATCAAGCAATTGATAATTTTGTTTATATTCGCTGGCCTTAATGACCTGTTGGCTCTTCGAATCACATTCATGTCAGCAGTAATTATATGATTTATAATCGCATTTTCATGATTTTTATTTATACGAAGAGAGGAAGAACACGAACAAAATAACCATCAAAGTGCCTAAATTGAAGAGTGTACATAATGTGAATTGAATGTTTGGTTGTTGTGAATAAATTCCGCCTCGACCATTTTGATGCGTGTTTGGTTTCATCGTCGAAATTAGCATCAAGTAATTCAAAACCGTCAATCAAATTTAAATGCGTACTTGTTTCCATAAGAACATAAATTTATATGTTGCGCGTGTTTCACATTATGCCGACAACGGGCCACCCGTATATGTGAACTATATACGCACATAATATGCGTAGTAAATTTATCTATTGCCCGGAGACTAATTTTGTGTGCGAAACGAAATCAAAAGTATATTTTTGGTATATAAAAAATGTTTATTAGCAATCTTACGTTTTAAGAATCTTGAAGAAGAACAAAAAAAACTAACATAGTCATCATTAAACATGTAAATAAAATAGAATGAATAGTGCCTAGTAATAGAATCGAAAGAGCTTGTGAGCTTTTACATCATAGTAAATACGCACATTGGCCAAAGCATTCTATTTTTTTTGTTCTATTGGAATAAGTGCTTTTCGTATTTGGATTTGTGACTCTTGTGTGTTAACCAAAAAAGAGCGTGTGTGCCAAGTTTCCAAGCTCTTTGGGTATTTTTAAATGCGCAATTTGATTTTGTCAAATGTGGAGCAATGTGGAAAATATACACGCGGCATGTGTATATCCAAAGCGCGTGAGTGAAATGCTGCCACATCAACGTACCTGATAAGCATTTTATTCAGGGGAATTTTGTGTATGTATTTATGCCTGTGGGAAACAAATCAGCTGTTTCTTATTTTCGACGCAGAAATATTGCGTAAAACAAATTTATCGAACGTATCAACAACCGGCTTCAATCTAATCAGAAATGTTCCGCTCTAAACTTTCCACATTGTCATTTTTTTCCACATGAAAATAAATTGTTTTTTCCGTTTCGATGTTTGCTTTCAATCCATTTTTTTTTTCGATGGAAAGAAATTTTTTCAATCAATTTTCTGAATCAGAATTTTTAATTAAAAAATAAAAAAAAATAAAAACGAACACGCGCTTCAAATGAAGAAAATATCAACTTGGCACCTATTCTAAAGGCTTAACAACTTGGCATTGTGGCGATGAAAAATGATTTCTTTTCTCTCAATTTTTTTACGTGATTTCGTTGGAAACTTGTTATTTCTTGAAATAAATTGAAATCGGTTATAATTAGAATGTGAACTCGTTTAGTTTCAGCCAATTCCACAGAATTGCACAGGAACTGCAAATTAATCCATTTTAACTGTCATCAGATTTCAACCATATGCCTATCATCAATTTGCTATGAGCGCTGATAAAACATTTTGATTTATTTTTCTCTCCCGAGATGAATTCGTCACGAGTTTGGATGAATTTATTTTTATGTAGATAATGTTTTATATTATCATAATATTGAATATTTCGATTCGTTGACGTGCGCACATAAGGCGAAATTGTGTGGGTTGAAGCACGAGAGTTGACGTCTTTGTACTCTCGTCCTGTGCCGAACATTTTTTAAAGCCAGTTCGATGAACTACGTAACAGATCAATTCAGAAACAACGCAATTTCAATATCAATTTTACTAAGTTTTTATTAACTTGAACCTGAATGCGATCATGCATGCTTTTATTTGTATTTTTGGCAACGTCAGTTTTGTATTCAATTTTGGTCGAACCAAATATTATTAATTTCTTATCAGAAACTGACTGATCGTAACTGATAGGCGACTATCTCAAAAGATCTATTTAATATAAGTCTATTGTTTAGATCGATTGACATCTTATCATAATGTTTGTTTCGTGTTTCTTTTAATCGTTTCTGACCTGAAACTAACGAAATTTTTGTTTTTTTTTTATTACAGGTACTCGTATCATTTACGAACGTGCTTTTTTGATGAATCTCAAAAATTCGCCATTGAGCCGTACACCACCATCGAATCTGCCAAGTACATTGATCAAAGGCTGCAAAAATGTGCCGATGTCAAAGATTAACAACAACAACAATAACAGACATTCGAATTCAATCAGCCGAAGCCCACCATCACATAAGACATGCGATGAACAACAATTCGACATGGACCTTTAAACATATCGCTTTGTTGCTGCATAAAAAACCATACAAAAAATTTCATCTGAAATATATTCATTTGCGGAAACTAAACAATCTAGATTTTAGCAAACAAGTATATCCATACAAAAACATTGTTTTACCGTTGCATCTCTCGTTCGTTCGAAACAATGCGGTAATAAGTTTAAGGCGCATTTATAAAAAAAGAATTACAAAAAAAATGTATGTTAAGACCGTTGTGATTTTCAAAGCAATTACGGTTTAATGAGAAAAAAACGCCATTTAATTGTACGTATTCATTCAGAAATATTCATCAGAATGCAAAGAGCAAAAAGAAAATTTGTTTTGAGTTTCTTACGAAATTCCTTTGATATTTATCAAAACATTCTCAAACTATTGAAAAAAAATCTACCATTTGGAAAATCATTTAGAATTAAATTTTATTTTTTAAGTTTTGTTTAAATAGAAGAAACAAAAATTTCTATTTGAAGTACCAAAAATGAGAAAATGTGAAAAAAACGCTCGCTTATTGGTATCTTACATCTTACTATATTTTTGCGTTTTTTTGTGTTTTGTTTTTTGTTCTAAGAACAAATCTGTTAAATAAATCGAAAACAACTTGAGAGAAAAGACATGTTTTTTTATTTTGAATTTTGTTTTGTTTTCTTTTTTCTACTAGTCTCTTTAGTTGTTGAATTCACTTATCGTTTTTTTATCATCATTTTTTCAAACTGCTTGAAATAATCAATAGGAAATAGTACTTATCGTTATTGATTTGATATCATTAAGCAACTCAGACAGAATCCCAGTCTATTCTATCGTTCAACCTTCAATTTATGTGAAACGTGACCTTTTAGCAGAAATTATAAATCAACTTAACTTTTTACCAATAGCTTAACTTTTTAAGAGCCCCAGTCTGCTGATAACAAACTAGTACAAATTTGCTTGCAAATAGCAAAATTAATATCGAGAAAAAAACAGAGAGGCACCAAAACGATTTAATTTTTCTTATAGACATAAGTTTTTTTTGCACATTTTTGAATTTTATATCGCTTTTGCTAAAACAATTTTTTCAAAATATTATTTCCTTAATTCCTTTATATTTAAATACGAGAATGTTTTTGATCATAGTCAAAAAACATTTATTCGAAATGGATTAATTTTTTTTTTTCGACATTTTCGGTTATAATTCCGCTTCATCTAAATTATCGAAAAATAAGAAAATGGGTTATTTTATACCTATTATTCATGTTCTATTGTGTATGTTATGTATAATTTATGAAATTCAACTATTCTATGAGCTAATAAATGAATTACGTCCAGTTGAAGCGATCAATGGCATATTCGAGTATTTGTGT